AAAAGATTAAACTATTTATCGGAAAAGTATACTGTAACTTTATGCTAAATACATTCGATGCACATGTCCTTAAATGAACTACATAGTGTCTACAACTTTGGGAACTTACTACTCACATTTTACACTGACTTATCAGGAAGCACCCTGGCGTGGCGCAAAACACTACAGCCTTTCACGCTGCTCCTCCGCAAACGGAGTATATCGTACAGATGGAAAGGATCCCGCACTCTAGCCGTCCTCCAAGGTAACATCTCTTACCCGGTCCAAGACCTCGAAGGGGCGGTAGCCATCTTAGAGACCCTGGGTCTTCCACGAGATTCCCTAAACAGAGGAGCAGGGACGGGGGCCGCAACGCATGTCTGGGACCCGGCCGGCACAGCTCCATTTGTACTGCGCAATTCCGCTGAAGACACCTACAGGGCCGCCACAACCTGAACTCTAATCACTAATCTCTACAGAGAGCCACATACCAACCTACCAGCTTAACAGAGACCTTTTTTTTTTTTTTTTTTTCTTCCCGACCTCACTCACGCTAGTCCATATTGAACCCAGGCACTACCATTTTATGAGGGCCGGAGGGCCTATATCCCCCATGCTCGCCTGGATGCTGCTGGGATCCAACCCCCGTCGGACGCTATGGCAGTCAGCATGGACATTGGGACAATAGACGGGAGTGGGCTGACGAAACACTCACCTACCAGGGAAGACCCACCATCTACAAGCTGGGACTCACTCATCTACAGGTCTAACCCTGGCTCCTTAAGTTGTCCTCTAGAGCGATATAGCTGAGAGTTCCATATACCTGTTTGTTTAACTTATGTTAACAGTTAAAGCATGTATCTTTGCATACCAGTAGCTAAACGTAGTCATGCAGCATTTCCCGATGGTCCTTAAGTGCATATATCGATCATTACAAGTTTAGTTGAAGGTCTGAAAGCATGATCTTTATCATTATTTTGATTATCATTGTACTACCAGACTAATGTTTCTTTTCTGTTGACTATTTTAATGTACTTCATATCCTGTGGCACTCCCGCAATGACTCCAGTAATTGTCTTATCCAGATCTGCTTAAGAAGGGCCACAACACTGTCATAACATGTAGGACTTTTCTTTAATGATTCCTAGCTACGGCAGTATCTGTGTTCTCCTGCCACTTATTATTATCTAGCCAGGTAGTCACTGAGTATGACAGCCCGGGCCTCTCAACCGACAGAACTAAGCAGTCAGATTATGTGTAGCCAAGCACAATGTCTCTGAAGTAAAACCTAGAGTAAACAAGATATATATATGTTTTACTCTCCGACCTCCCTGACGTTACTTCTTACTACTTAACTCGTTGACTCTACACTGATACTGCACAGTACATCACTAACAATTAGTATTCCTTTTAATATTTTTACTGTGATATGGTGGCATACACCCAAACAACTAGCCTACATTACAGAAAGTATGGTTACCTCCGCTAACTGCACATCTAGTTAACACAATCACTGTGCTCCTAATGCCTACATGTCACACCACAACCAAGATACACACGCACAACCTAAAGAGTAACTAGTTCTGTTATATGCTCGTCTAGCCTAGCAAGTTATACTACAAACAAGATGTCTAACCGTATGATATTTTCATGTAATATAAAAAAAGAAAATGTGCCGTCTAAGCTGTCACGCTTTGTAATGTCATGGAAATGCTTGTAGAAACTGTTGTGGCTTTACAAGCTCGTTGTTAAACCATGCACAAGAAAAAATAAAGAATTAAAAAAAAAAAAAAAATGAACTACATAGTGTCAAAAATATGCATTCTTGGCCTCCCTCTCCTGCTTTTAAAAGGTGATTTTACTCACTTTATTTCCAGTGCCATGCCAGTCTTATCGCTGCTAGCTCCACCCTGCCTCCTTGGCTTAAATCATTAAATTTCACCATCTCAGCCAATCCAATGCTTTCCCATAGGAAAGCATTGGGAGGCTATTGCTTATATGCAGCAAAACTTCAAGCTGCGCCAATCAGCATCTCCTCATTGAATCAATGCATTTGGATTTATGAGGAACATTCAGCACCTCACACAGGAAGCACTTCTAGTGGACGTCTGAGTGCCATATGAAGAGTGGTCAGTGGATGTATCCCTAGGCTGTAATGTAAACACTGCCTTTTCTCTGTAAAGACTGTGTTTGCATTAAAAAGTCTGCATGGACTGACTATACTCACCACCAGGGCGATCCTGGGCGGGTACAGGGGATGCACCCTGCCCAGGCGCAAGGAGGTCAGGGGCATCGCGCGGAGCAGGCCGATGGCGATCCTGGGCGGGTACAGGGGATGCACCCTGCCCAGGCGCAAGGAGGTCAGGGGCATCGCGCGGAGCAGGCCGATGGCCTGTTACAGGGAGCCCAGCAGGTGGCCAGTTGGCCACCTACGGTTGCCCCTGGAATGGCGGTTATTCAGCAAGGCAGAGTAGACACCTGCTTATCCCAGACGGCAGGTGCCTACTCTGCAGCAATATACCGGCCAGGTGAGGAAGGAGGCAGGCGACGAAGGAGCACTGCCTGTGCTGATGATCTTCCTGGTCCTCTCGCGCGTCCTCTGTGGTTATGCCGGGAGCCATAAATTCCAGCCCTGATCCCTGTCACATAACACACCTGAACACCAATTCAATTAACTACGTGACTGAGTGTGTTGTGTGTCTATGTATGGGACTTTGTGTGTCTTTTAATGCATGTGCCTCTGTGTTTTTTTATGAATGTTTGTAACTGTGTTAATGCGTGTATGTCTGTGACTGTGTTTTGGGGTGTCTGTGTCCATGATGATGTGTGTCTGTGATGATTGTGATGGTGTGTGTTAATTCATGTCTGACAAAGTTATTCACTAAAACAATTGTCAGGAATACAATGCTTCCAATTTGACTATTCTGTCATACACTTTGAAATCCACCATGAATTCCTGACAATTCTCATTTTTGTAAATAACCCAGTATGTATGTATGTGACTGTATATATTGATATGTGCCTCTGTGTGTGACAGTGTGTGTCTGTGTATATATGTGAGTGTGCACATGTTGATGTATGTATGAGATTTGATCTGTGGATTTATATGTATGTGTATTAATTTGTGTATGGTTTGCATACATCACTGTATATATACAGCAAACTGAAATAAGGAAGTGTTGCATTAAAAAATAATTTAAACAAATTAGTTTATAGAGATAATTGTTTAAGAGGGCGTCACCAAGTCTAGAGCCGCTGCTGCACAGAGGGGAAGCAGGAAGGAATACCTGCCTCCCTAATACTAGACACTAGGGACCCTGGCCTATTTCCTCCTCCTAGTGTTCATGACAGCAAGGTGTATGTATGTGACACTGAGAGAGAGAGAGAGAGAGAGAGAGTCTGTGTGTCTGATACAGTGTCCATATGACAGTGTGAATGTGTGTGTATTGTATTGTGTGTGACTGTCTAGGTATGCATGGGGCAGTGTGTGTGTAATTGTGTGATTATGTAGTGATTTAAAACGCTGAGTGATGGACTTCCATGTTTTGTGTACACTGTGTGTCTGTCAGCATTTGTGAATGTCAGTGAGTGTTTCAAATCAGTGAGATTGTGTATCTGTCATTGAGAGTGTGTCAATGTTTCTGTTTGAGTATGTTTCTGTCAGTGTGTGACAAATCCGTAAGTGTGTGTGACTGTCAGTAAGTGTGTGTCTAGATGGAGAGGTGGAGTTGTTGCAAAGGGGAGGGGTTAGGATGATGAGAATAATTTCTGCACCCAGGCACCTGTGACCCTAGTTTACTGCAAAAAGCCTGCAGGGAATGATTATGCTCACCACAACAAATAAATTAAGCTGTAGTTGTTCTGGTGACTATAGTGTCCCTTTCAAGGGACACTATAGTCACCAAAACAACTACAGCTTATTGTATTATTTTCTGGTGAGCATACTCATTCCCTGCAGGCTTTTTCCCAAACTCCGGACCTCCAGATGTTGCTGAACTACAATTTCCATGATTCTATAAATGAAATAGATAGGCTGAGAATCATGGGAGTTGTAGTTCAGCAACATCTGGAGGGCCGTAGTTTGGGGAAGCCTGTGTGACTAAACTTTTCTCATAGAGATGCATTGATTGAAGAGATGCTGATTGGCCAGGGCTGTGTTTGGATTGTGCTGGCTCTGGCCTTGATCTGCTTCCTTGACAGTTTCAGCCAATCCAATGGAATTGGAATAAAGGTATGATTTTACTATATGGGAGGGTGATTAGGAAGCTAAGTTCAGCATTTTTCATACCACATTGGATGGTCTCTGTGTGGGACAATCCTAAATATAAGAAAACATTACAAAAGTAATTCTAGGACAATTGGGACAAAAAGTACAGCAGTCACCATGAAAACCAATGTACTGTCTCTGCTGACTGCTACATATCTGCAAGAATTTTTTTTTTTTGTTTTATTGTAGGAATGCAATCGCGATATTTTTGTTCCAGGTGGAGAATAAAATGAAGCCCGGCCAAGTAATGCAAACAGAGCTTAACCCTTTATGGGCTAACCAGAAATAAGAATTGACTAGTGAGCTCCGAGCACTGTGCAAAGATGTATACGCCTACTAAATATGTAGAATTACTGATATATTTATTAACCTAGCTAGTTCTATTTGTCCTCATAAAGAATAGTCGCAGATATGAAAAATCATCCAATTTAGGTAACAGTAGATATAAAAAATGAGCTAAAGTCACCTAGAAAACACCAGAACATAGCGTTGTTATTATGTGTGGCTATAACTTATTCTTCACTCTTTACAATTAGTTATTTCAACAATCTAACTGTTGCCACCAATTTTGCTTCAATATAGCATACTTGACAGACCCATCATGACAAGTTTCTTAAAGCAGTATAAATGCATTATGAGATAATAAATAACCACTAAACTCTCAGATGACACATTGCATCGAGTCTCCTCTCCTGCCAAGGTTGCTGTTTGGGGGGTTACTAAGGAAGCGTTCAGTACATAGACTTCTCTCAGCGCACATGCGCTCAGCACTGGGGAAGCACCGTCACTGACTGCGCATGCGGTTAGTCTGGCTGCTCCGTCCCTGTAAAGAGACCGGCGTATCGGAGGTAGCACATATACCGGCTGTTGGAACAATCTATTCAGCCATTAGCCTTCACCGCTACCGCTAAGATGGTTCTGGATCTCGATCTATTCCGGGAGGACAAAGGAGGAAACCCGGAGCTTGTGAGAGAAACTCAAAGGAAGAGATTTAAAGATCCTGCTTTGGTGGAGGCCCTGCTAACCTCAGACACAGCATGGAGGAAATGTAAGTATGCAAGGACCCAGCCTGGGTCAGTGAGCATGCAATCTAACGATGTATGGAAAGTCAGATCATCAGATCAACCTTTACTCACATCCCAGTATATGTCTTCCCATCACTGTTCAATAGGGGATTGGTTTTCATGTGTCATTTTGCCACATGATTTTGTATACTATAAGCGCTCAGTATATATAATGGGGCACAAATAATATTGACAACTCATATATTTCAATCAATGTTACAATGTATACATAGAATGCTGATGTTTCTAAGATTATGTCTGTTTGTCTATAACGAGATTTTTACACAACTTTACGTTTTTCTACTATATATATATATATATATATATATATATATATATATATATACACACCATGCAGTTGAATTTATTGGGGAATAGAGAGGTCTGTCAAATGTTAGCAGTGCTTCTATGTCAGAATTTGTCGGTCCATGTGCTATTATATCTGATGCAATACTGCAGCAAGGAGAGAGAGGGGAGGAGGTGGAGTCCCAGTAAGATCGGCCCTTTGCCACTTCATTAGGACAACTCATCTCTTAGCAGCTTAAAAACATATATCCCTGACCTGATTGGTGCTGTATCTTTTTAAGCGATGACTCATCAAACTGTTAAAAGTGTGTTTGGACTGTTGATTTTGTGATTATTTAATCTCAGCCATTCCTTCGTACCTGATGTATTCCTGATTTTGTCTGTAGCATGATAGTTTGATGGCCAACCTCCTCATATTTTGGTTATGAGGAGCCAGCACTTAAAAGTATGTAATAAATTTGCAGAGCATGTTCTCTGAAAAATGAGTGTCTGTAAATAAATTATAGCTTGGTTATTGTCCTTTAAATAAAGTAATTTAAAAAATACATAACAGTCACACTTTAACTAAAGTCCAGGATTTGTATTATTTGGAATACTAGTCTTGCGCCTGAGAGGGGATATGATAACTTTTTATAAATATATTCGGGGCCAGTACAAACCTTTATCTGGAAATCTATTCATAAACAGGGCTATACATAGGACACGAGGTCACACATTTAGGCTGGAAGAAAGGAGATTTCATCTAAGACAAAGAAAAGGGTTTTTTTTTTTGGGTTTTTTTTTATAGTAAGAACAATAAGGATATGGAATTCTCTGCCTGAATAGGTGGTTTTTTTCAGAGTCCATATAGATGTTTAAACTGAAATTGGATAAATACTTACAAAAACATAACATACAGGGATATCATTTCTAATTAGTGGGGTAATAGCTGCTTGCTCCAAGGAGACATCTGACTGCTATTTTGGGGTCAAGAAGTAATTTTTTCCTAGTTTGTGGCAAAATTGGAAGCGCTTCAGACCAGGATTTTTGCCTTCTTTTGGATCAACAGCAACATTTGTGAGGAAGGCTGAACTTGATGGACGCAAGTCTCTTTTCAGCTATGTAACTATGTAACATAGAATTTCACCACTAAGCAGTGAGCTGTAGAAAATTGAAAACTGAATTGTAAAATTTAGCCAAAAACTGAATATTTGAAAGAAATGTCAAACTTGGCTATTACAGCCTACATTTTCTCATTTTGAATATTTTTTTTTTTTTTTTTTTAATTTCACGGTATAGTGCATAAACCCTTTTAATATATGCATCTATATAACAATAATATCGTCATACTAAACTTCCTGGCTTTTTAACCCCTTAAGGACACATGACATGTGTGACATGCCATGATTCCCTTTTATTCCAGAAGTTTGGTCTTTAAGGGGTTAAAGGTACACTCCACTATAAAAATAAACTAAAAATCACTATTTAGTAGATTTACCACTAATGAAATCATGCATGCATTTATTTATTATGCATCTTTTTTCATTGGGGATATATCTAAAACAGCTTCCAAAAGCTGCAGATCTTTTGAATGTATATTTTGCAGGCCATCTCCTTTTTCCCAAAAATATTCCAATCAGAGGCTTCTTATTCTGTTGGAGCCATGAGCACGCTTGTGATCAGAGCTTTCCAATGAGCTGTAAAACATGCCTGCCAATTCCATTCTACTGAAATCAACACTTTCATAAAATGCCACACATTTCACTGACTCCAGACACATAAAGTACTTCAGCGAACTTGACAGGGTAGTCAACCTGGTCCCTACTGCCCACTAGTGGGCCCGCTGGCACTTAGTTCCAGTAGAGGGAGGAAGGGCCTGGGAGGCTCCCTCGAGCAGGCTGGTAGGGACGTTGCCGCACGTTACCACGGCAACGCTCTGATACAGTGCTGTGCTCGCATGAGGGCCAGCTTGCAGCCGGAGGAGCTGCAGGCCAAAGTGAACATGTTACCACTGGGCCACCAGGGCTTGCAGCATTATGTTTCCAATACCTGGTAAAAAGTAAGAAGATTGGTGGGGGAGACATTTAGATAAGTTTTCACATCTCACCCATCTCCACACACCATATACTCTATGCACCACAAACACACACACATGCTCTCTCTTTCTCCAACACTTACACGCACTGGGAGGGGTGTGACCTTAAGATAGATTTTCACATCTCACTCACCTACAAACAGCATAGACCCTATGCACCCTTCACACAGAAACACACTCTACAACTCTCACACCCACGCACTGCTCCTTCACACACACAGCACCTCACAGACACACAGGGAAAAAAATGTACAATAGGAAAAAAAAAAGATACATTTAAGTACATATTTAAAAAAAAAAAAAAAAAATCGCAATTGCTCTATAACATTTAGTTACTGCGGCACTGGTGGGCGGTAAGGAAATTTTACCATCAACAACGATACAAAAGTGGGTGGTAGGTATTAAAAGGTTGACTACCCCTGCTTTAAAGCAACAAATGTATTCCTGACCCTATAGTGTTAATATCACCATCTGGACCCACCCCCAATGCCTCCCTAAATATAGTAACATCTTACTTGTATTCAAGTCTGCATCTGCTGCCTCTCCCCCTGACCTGCCTGCTGACATCATCAGAAGTGGTGGCCCGAGCCAATAACAATGGTTCCTTTTAGGATTGGCTGAGACTTTTAAGGAGGCAGATCAGGGGCAGAGCCGGCACAAGTCAAACACAGCCCTAGCCAATCGGCATCTCCTCATAGAAGTGCATTGAATCAATGCATCTCGATGAGGAAAGTTCAGTCTCTGTATGCAGAGGGAGGAGATACTGCACATTGTGCAGCACTCCCCCAGGAAGCACCTCTAGTAGCCATCTGTGGAGTTATCACTAGGCTGTAATGTAAACACTGCATTTTCTCTAAAAAGACTTTGTTTACCATAAAAAGCCTGAAGGGAATGATTATACTCGCCAGAAGAAATACAATAAGCTGTAGTTGTTCTGGTAACTATGGTGTCCCTTTAATACATAGACTAAATATAACCACAGTCCTTTCTCTGCTAGCAGAACCTAAATTAAATATTCACACCTGTGCATGTTCTCTCTCGTTTTTCCAGTATTTGACTAAATATTTTGCAATTGGATAATATAGATAATGGGGAAATTGGCAAAAAATTAAGCAGGAACATTTTTTTCTGGTCTGTGGGGACATATATTACCCTATAATTCCCTGTCCAGCAGGATATTTTAGGATGAGTAGTTTATCCCCAATGAGCAATCTTTATAAAATACTCATATTGACTGTGTTAAAATTTCACTGAAATTCCAGCCCAATCAAGAGACCTAGTAAAGGTAGAGATAAAAAAAAACAGGTTGCACCAAATGTTGGTGTAAAGATGTTAAACAGCACTAATAATAAAAAATAGTAAAATAGTATTTACAGAATAGTCTCAAATTCATTTGATAGCAGAATTTTTGATAGGGAAGATGAAGTACAGCAGGTATTGTAGTGTGTTCATCAGCTTATTGGATACCGTGATATGAAATGGCAAGCATGGCAAAATAGTGTAATATTGTATATTACAGAGGTGAGGAATAAGATAACAAAAATGCACTTATAAACTGAGCTATATATTCGCTCTCATGTATCAGCTTATGCTAATAATATACTTGTCACTGGATATGTAGTAAACACTCTTAATTGTTTTAGGAACACTGGTATGTATAGTGACACCTTCACAACATGCGCGACTCACATGATATATAAAAGTAGAGACAAATCCAATCGTGTAACCCAATAAAACGCCAAACGTTAAATTAAAAGAAGATAAAAATACAAAGAACTTCCAGTTTAGCTCTTAGTCAAAGCATGAAGCTGTATAATACCCGCTCACGGATATTCGTTTTAGTGAGTTTTCTTCCATGTATATTCAATATACATATGATGAAAATAGAAATACAAAAAAATAGTTCTCTCTATTGGAAGTGAAAATAAAGCTTGTAAATTTTAATGAAATGTACTTGCATTTAAAGGAGCATTCACATGCTTGGTGGTAACAGCGTGGTTGATACAATCCCCATCTGGGTATGAAAGGACAAGTGGATAAGGTGCAGTAATTCCAGCAGTTTTTTCAGGATGTTTAAGATATAATAAAAAGCAGGACCAAAATAAAATATAAAATAAATAAAAATGATATGGTAAATTCAGTTGTGTTTTATATATTCTTTTCATTTTCTTTTTGTAATTTGAGTTTAGCAAGTAGGGGTGTACAGAAAAAAGGGGAGGTTAGACTGGAGTTGGTAACATGGATATACTGTACAGCATTTATACAGGGTATTGGTCAATCACAGTTCAATCACCGCACACTCTCTTCCACAATGTTCGATTGTGTGCTCATTTCGGGTATGCTTTCCGGACCAAGGTTTGTATGTCCAGAGGGGGGGTCTGGTTGCGTCTACACCTGTTTACCATCGTGGGAGGTGTGGGGGTGACCACCAATGGGTGTGTGCACAGGTGTCTCATCTTTCTCTGTGGAGGGTGGTGTTTAGTCCGCCCGGAGTTGTTACCATGGTATAGTTGTGTCCCCATCTAGCCAGGGATCCCAGATTTTGTGGAACTGTTTAGGTGTGTCGTGTATTTGTGGCGTAAGTTTATCCATTTGTAAGCTATCTAGTATTTTCCTTGTTATCATGTCTTGTGTCGGGATGCGGAGCAAGGACCATACCTCAGCGATTGCCCTGCGTGTCGCCAGGGCGATGCGGGCGGTCAGTTTGTTCTCAGTTCTTGTGAATGTTTCCACAGGTTTTGAGAATAGCAGGTAAATTCAATTAAATTACCAAATAAGCAATAAAAATAAATAGTAAAATACTTGACAATCTAAAATCAAAATGAATTTCGCCTTTTGGGCTTTAAGTTTCTATACTCTCTTGGATTGTTGGGGTATCCAAGTTTCATTGTTTACTGCCTATTGGAACTAGCGCTTTATCAACATTTTTTTTTTTTCCTTTTCCGAGACAAAGTAGGGACTACTGTCTCAGTATTTTTCCTATGCTTGACACTTCTAGACACTGGGTGGAACTATCCCCATCTAGATGTGTCAATCTCTTCCTCTGCAGTCACCAGTGATGGCTTTAGGGAATAGGCTTTATCTATGGAAGATCATTTGGTCTTGGGATCCTCCATATATCTCAGTGCAGCACTCTTATGCACGTGTGAGAGTACAGCAGTGACGTTGGCTCCTGGCTCTGAAGGGGAACCGCTGGAAAAAAGACGGAGGTGCTCACATGTGGTAGGTTCAGGTAACTGGAACGCACCCATTCCATATCCTATACTTTGTGTAGGATTCGGATGCAAAAGCACCAGTTTTAATCTAGGCACAGCATGCATCTGGATGATTGCTACAGATTTGCTTGGGCCAACTGAATTACGACCGTATTTGTCTTTAGAAATTGCCATTGTGGTTGGAATTTGGTTATTTTAACTTGATTTTATACATCTAGTGTTTAGTGTATAACCCTTTAAAAGAAATTTCCAACCATAACAACTATAATTCCATATAAGTAAGTAATCGAACCGCTTGCTTCCAGTTTGACTTTTTACCTGTGGTTTGTTGGGCCTCGCTCCCTGCTTCTTCTTTTCCACTATGGAGATTTAGAAACTCCAGATAGGAGCTTCTCTTTGCTACTCCTTAGCAAAGCCATGTAGGGTAGTGACAGATCATTGGTTGAGAGTGACAGCCGATAGTTCTCAGTTAATTAGCTAAGCCTTGCACTACTTGGCTCAGGCAAATAACTTCCAGCTATCATAGAGGCCTGCGAACCCCAGGTAAGCAGTCAGACCGCTGTTTTGACTGCTTTCACGGAGGACGGTACCAGGAAACTCCTGGCACCATATAACCACAGCACCTGTAGTAGTTATGGTCCTTGCAGTTTTCTTTTAATATCTCTGCATTTGTTCTAAGTATAGCCATGTAATTTTTCATCATGCTCACATTGTGTTTCAACAGCCTGAAGGAGGATTTTACCAGAGTTCAGTGTTTATATGTTTGATGAAATTCTGTGAAATTTCCTTTTACTGCATGAAGAATGACAGATTTGTGTAATTCCTATGTCTTTACAGGCAGGTTTCAATCAGATAATCTGAACAAAATGAAAAACCTGTGTAGCAAAACTATTGGTGATAAAATGAAGGTAAGTGATTTTCTGTCACATGTATCTATGCTCCGTCAACACTCCCCTTTGTAGTGTTAATAGAAACAATAGGAAGGGCTATCAAAGTATTTGTTTTAAAAAGTGGTGCAAAAATATAAAAGGAATGGTGTCACCAATGGTATATGCATTCTGGTGACACAGGGTTACATGTTGACTACTACTCTTTTTGTACTTTAGATCACGTTTTATAACAGTTCACTTCCTTAGATATCACTATTGTTTCCAATCTCCGCTTCTCTGTGTGCTTGTCTGCCCAATTCAAATGACAGAGCGTATAACAGTGTTTGACAGAGATCTAACCCGCCATTTGTAGGATTAGGATTTGGCTTTCTGCAGGTTTTTTTTCCACGCCTCACAACTACATATTTGGTATATATTGGGTGTTACGTTAACATAATATTAAGAATACTGGCAAGTGGCAGTTCCCCTTTAATGCATTTTGTAGATGCTTTAATGATAATTTAAAAAAAACAAAAAACTGCTTTTAGAATTTCCCTCATTTATTGCAGATCTGCAACCTTTTATTTACTTTCAATAGGAGCTGAGATTGCTAGTATATGTAGTTCTCCACTCTTTAGTAGTCATGAAAATTACACTTTTGTGCACCTGTTACACAGCTATTATTCCCAAATTGCTTCATTCATACATTTTGATGCTGTATGTGCACATCCCATAATAAAAATATTTGTACAGGCAAGAATTAGCAGTCAGGTGGGCTTATCACGTTAGATTAAACTGAATGAGAGGAGATAAAGGCCGAAGCTAATGGACACATTGAAGGTGTGTATGGTCCTTGGAGTGTTGCATAAAACTCAGTTCGTCCATGCAGTATTAAAGTGGATATTGTATTACACTTTTTTTGTGAATTGTAATTGATTGAACTTCTGTTGGTGTAAAAATGTGTTCTTTAAAAATATTAAATAGGATAGGGAAGGGTGACTAACCAAAACCGCTGTATTGTTCAAACACTGATTTTTTTATTTTTTTTTTGATTTTTTTTTTTGGGTAATTTTTTAATATCATACATTTATACACATACATACAAATATACAGGGAAATCACGGATATACATGGATATATGATGCAATGAACATTCACATTATTAAAGGAATTTTGGTGGATCCTGACTTTTGACTCCTACTATATATCATATGAACACAGTGGTTTTATGTTGGTGTTTATCTGCAGTTATACATGGTATTTTTTCCTATTGTGTTGCAGAAAAAAGAACTGGTGGGTGACAGTGATGCACTCCCAGAAAATGCCCAGAATCTGGACCAATTAACAGCAGAAACTCTAGGTGTAAGAAAATTTTTGTTGTGATATTCTAATATTATTGAGCATTTAAAGAAAATGTTTTGAAATATTGCACCTAGGTAGAGTAATCAGATTTCTATGCACATGTTCAGTATTCAGACCAACATAAAATATGTAGACAACCTTAGCTAGAATAAGATTTAATTCTACCCACCTTTTCAAATTTTAGTTTGTAGTGCTGTAGTCTGATTTCATTGAGCGTTTTGTTTCCCCTCGCTTTTTGCAATTTTGAGATTGTTTGTTTGTTTGTTTGTTTGTTTGTTTGGGTTTATTTGTTGTTGTTTTTGTATAGTCACAGTGGAACTCCAATTTGAATCCCTGTGTATACATAGTTACATAGCTGAAAATAGACAAGCGTCCATCAAGTTCAGCCTTTCTCACATGTATTTTTGCTGTTTATCTAAAAGGGAAAAATTACCCAGTTTAAAGCACATCCAATTTTGCAATAAACATGGGGAAAAAAATCATTTTTGACCCCAGAATGGTAGTCCGATATCTCCTTGGATCAAGAAACTATTACTACTAATTAAAAAAATATATCCCTGAATAGTATTTATCCATGAATACTGGTACAATTAAACTATGGGATTACATTCAGGTGACTCATTCATATTCAGTATGGCTGGTAAAATTTTGATAAAGCTTCACTCTATTCACTAGCAACAAAATCTTTACCGCATAAAGCCATGGTTTCTGGACTATATTTCGAAATGGATCTAATTTTTTAGTGAGATTTGCTTGATATTAGATCAGCTGTTTAAGGGCATTTGGTTGCATTTCAGCTATTTGTGAATAGCAAAATCAGCCGTGATGTATGGTGATTTGGTTAATTTTAACAGATAACCAAATGGCAGGTGACTAGTTTTAATTCAGTTAAAATAATCGAATTAGCCTTTTGTGATTACCCATATGGGTTCAATATAGCTGCAGCAGCAGAATTATGGCAACTTAATGGCACTCAACTGCTCTTGGCAAATAGACCACAAACCAGTTCTGTTCAAACGGAAAGAGGATGTGATACATTAAGGTAATAGTGTGTTAACCTGTCAGTATTGTTTAAATGCTTATTATTATTATTATTATTATTATTATTATTAATTTATTTTTTTAAATCCTTTTTGTAGGCAATGACCGTAACACAGATTAAGCGACTTCGAGTCCTTATAGACAAGGCCATAGAAGCAACAGATACAGAACGAATAAGGCTTGAGGCTGAGCGGTTTGAGAGTTTGAGAGAAATTGGAAACTTGCTGCACCCATCCGTTCCAATCAGCAATGATGAGGTACTATACTAGAATACTTAAAGGTGATTTCTTTATGCCACTTTAACAACTGAATAATGCAGCCTGAATATGAGCATTGTTGTGTGCACTGGATGGAGAAATTAAGTATTCCTGGTGTGAAATAATTGTGATCACCCCTTAGTCAGTGTATGTCTAGTCATTCAAGAATCATATTCCATGGGGGATACAAGCAGTAATGTATATTATTATTCATTATATCCTATATTTTTTTTTTTTTTTTTGTTTTCCTTGCAGGACAATGACAACAAAGTGGAGCGCACGTGGGGAGTATGTGAGGGCCGAAAGAAATATTCACATGTGGACCTTGTAGTTATGGTTGATGGCTTTGAGGGTGAAAAAGGAGCTGTTGTTGCTGGGAGCAGAGGATACTTCTTAAAGGTGAAGGGGTGTGTGTATGTATATATGTGTTTGTATGTATGTGGCGGATCACTCCGTAAGGGACTCCCCTTCGAAGTATCCCATTGAGCGCAGTAGTCGGTGATTATAGCTCGCAGGATAGCAGTAGAGTAAAGCAGTGTTTATAGCCTTTACCCCCTCCCCCATACATTAGTTGAGACTTAATGCTGGGACAAGAACTGGTTTTATTAAAGGAACATTATAGGCACCCAGAACACTTCAGCTAATTGAAGTGGTCTGGGTGCACTGTCCCTTTTTGCACTTAGTGCCGCAATGTAAAATCTGTGAGCTTTGACGTTGCTGTTTAGTGGATGTGTGAGTATGCTGGATCTTGTGTATTGTATAGATTGGCCCCAGCAGCACCCCATTTATGCATGTTCAGGTGAGTGCAGCCCCCTGGATAGATAGAGAGAAAGTTGAGTTGTGATACAGGGGTTAAGCAACATGAGTGCAAATAAGCCACAGATTTGATAGAAAATAGACACCATTCTAGTAGAGGGTTGTAAATATTTGGTGTGAAGATCACAGAGTGAGTGGGGAGAGAAGAAAACAAACAAACAGTGCAGAAGATTGTGCTAGAAGAGGAGAGTAAAATAATTAATTTCTTAGATTATGAATGTTTGAATTCACAAGAATTCCAGAATATGCATGAAGGTCTATATACAACAAACATATACACAGGACATTATGAAAGTTCGAGACACGAACTGAAACGTCGATTACTATTGGATTTATTGAAAAGTTAAATTGGAATAAGATCTTGCGTGCTGGCTTTCTTTGAAGTATATATATATATATATATATATATATATATATATATACTTAATTCACCCTGAACAATATTATAATTTGACAGATTTCCCTGCACACAGTGTCTAAGTTTACATCCACTTAACAATTTTATGTAATTTCTATGAAGATGGCTTGTTTTGAGTTGTAGAAGTAACACTTAGACTTTTTTTTTTTTTTCTTTAGGGCCCCCTTGTGTTTTTGGAGCAGGCCATCATTCAGTATGCTCTGCAGACTCTGGGATCAAAGGGGTACACTCCCATATATACACCATTCTTTATGAGAAAGGAAGTGATGCAGGAGGTGGCTCAACTTAGCCAGTTTGATGAAGAGCTATATAAGGTATGTCTCCATGGTACATATATAGTTACATCACAAATAACCGTTATATAGGCTATCTTTTATACATGTTTTTAATATAGCAGCATTTATTTGGTTTCATTAGGGTTTTTTGTTGTTGTCTAGAAATCAGTGCTGCCTTACCTATTACAAGAAAACAAAATATTACTTCCCAACCTTCTCTCTAGATAACTCATATGCAGGAATAAAGATGTAAGTGGAATGTGCCTAACACTTGCTGCCCATTGTTTTTATTAAATGGGGAGTTTGTTTGACCACATAAACCCTAGAGGAATATTGGATGCAATGCAGCATTAATTTAGGTCTTCTATGTGCTAGTACTACTGTCATCACTGTATGTATAAAAACCACATCAGTGTCAAGTAATGCATTAGCTCCTGTGTGGGTATTTATGCTCAGAATCATCAAGGTAACCTCAGTAAGCACTAATCCTTTTTTGTTCAGGTAATTGGAAAGGGAAGTGAGAAGTCTGACGACAACACAATTGATGAGAAATACTTGATCGCCACTTCCGAACAGCCAATTGCTGCTCTCCATCGGGATGAATGGCTAAAGCCTGAAGATTTGCCTATTCGCTATGCAGGGATTTCCACATGTTTCCGACAGGAGGTTGGATCCCATGGAAGGGACACACGTGGCATCTTCAGAGTGCATCAGTTTGAGAAAGTAATACTTTATATTATTTCTCACTCTGTTTCTCCTTTTCACTTAATCTTGTACCTATTTTGTATGTCATCGGCCCCTATTTAAGACTATTAATTCTATTTTTCTTGTGTCTATCTACCCATTTCTGAAACACCATGCATGTTCAACTTCTGACCAGTTGCGTTTTCAGCATTTCTTTTTCTGTACTTTGTTAGATAGAACAGTTTATTTATGCTTCCCCTCATGACAACAAATCTTGGGAAATGTTTGATGAAATGATCGAGACAGCAGAAATATTCTATCAGTCACTGGGTATCCCTTATCGCATTGTTAACATTGTTTCAGGTAAGGATAATTATTATCAGATTGTAATGGTCACATATTTCTATGCCATATATGTTTATTTTTTTACTTGTGCTTGTACCCTTCCATGCCTGTAACAGTGCCTCAACAGACAGCCCTGCACATCTTTTTTTTTTATTTATTTTTTTTATTATCTATTTCCATGTTTTCCTCTGAAGGTTCATTAAATCTTGCAGCCAGTAAGAAGCTAGATTTGGAAGCCTGGTTTCCTGGATCTGGTGCGTTCAGAGAGCTGGTCTCTTGTTCAAACTGCACTGATTATCAGGCACGGAGGTTGCGTATCCGCTATGGACAGACAAAGAAGATGATGGACAAGGTAAAATTTTGGTGTTCAGGTTCAAACCAGGAAGTCTTAGTCTTTTTGACAGGAATCTAAATTATGTACGTGCCATTAGGTCATGGATGGAGTCTTCAATTGTAAGATAGGTCAGTCATCTGTTCTTTGATATCTTCAGTAGACCTTTTCCAGTGTTCAGTGAGTCTATTGCACAGGGAAGGCTGTGCTCGGTCCTGTAATCTATTTCTTGTGTGGATTTGTCTGAAGTCTAATGTTTATGATGTTCCTCTTCTGTCTATAGGCACCTGATTTTGAGTAACTGGGCCAGTGGTCAACTGCCATTGTCTTAAATGTGAAAAGAAGATATGAATCCATTTGAGCCCAAAAATATATAGCTGCGATTTTACTCAAAATCCTCTGAGCAAAGGCTTAAAATTTGAAGTCCTATGCTACAAGTCAGACCTTAGGTTGCTTGCCTTTGCAAGCCATATTATACTCCCCAGGTGTGAATTCCTACTTGCAAAGGGTAATCTTTCACTTGCCAGTGGCTTGTGGTGAGTGGAAATCTAGAGCCCTGGTCTCAGTCTTCGATAACAAATTGAAGTAGGCAAGAGACAGTGTGAAAGTTGGCATCATTCTGGACTGGACAGAATTTATTTTCCTTATAAATTATTTAACAGACTTCATTGTGCATGTTCTATTGTAAAAGTAAAAAAGATTGAAGTCCATACAGTTCAACTTTAAAAAAAATTTTTTTTTTTTTAAGCGATGGCCAGTTATACCACAAAAAAAGAGGGGTCCTTAATGGCAATGAGATTTCTCCTTGGATTAACAGATGGCTCACGTACATATTAACATCAAAGTTCAGTTGATTTGTATCCAAAATTATTATTTTTTTAATTTAATAAATTTTTATGTATTGAAACAGGTAGAGTTTGTGCATATGCTAAATGCAACCATGTGTGCCACGACACGCACTATTTGTGCCATTTTAGAAAACTACCAGACTGATGAGGGCATCAGTGTCCCAGAGAAGCTCAGGGATTTCATGCCACCAGGTAAATTTTATGCGATAATTAATTTAAAATATTTTTTGATAAGTTAAATTTACTAATACTTGCAAAATAGCATTAGATCAATGAAAGAATCAGATTTTAAAAAATTGTGTGTAGTTTTCATTGCTAATTACGTGTGTTTTTTAAATGTTCGTTACTCTGTGACAACAAGGTGAAAATATATGCTGCAGTACTGTATTAGTTTATGCAGTACAACCTTCACACCCTAAAGATATTCATCCATTCTTTTTAGAGAATCTGTATTTTGTGTGTGTGCATACATTAGAACTGATTTTACTAAATATTTGTAAAATATTGCTTAACCCCTTAAGGACCAAACTTCTGGAATAAAAGGGAATCATGACATGTCACACATGTCATGTGTCCTTAAGGGATTAAGAAATGAAACACTTTAAAATACTTTGCACATTACAGGGATGAGAACTACCAGTTTTAAAAAGTTACAGTACATTGCATGTACACGTGCACTTATGAAGGGTAACATTTAGAGTTTTATGCACTATAGTAAACTATTACAGTGTTTACTTAAAGGGAAACTATAGTGCCAGAAAAAAGGGGCAAGCATGTGCTACTAGAGAGTCTTTATACATTGTCACACGGACGAGCCCAGAAATAATTTTAACCTGCAACCTAAATCTTTTTTTTTTTTTTTTTCTTAATGTGCAGTAGCGTTTGTCAAACTTTTCTTTAAGTTTTCTTTCCGTGCCCAGCGGTTTGACAAAATGCTTCTGCACAGGTCTAATGGTTCAGTAATCCTGCTTTGTATTATACAAGGTGGAGCGTTGTTTGTTTCTGAGAGTCCTTGCAGGAATTATGCATAAAGCGCTGCTTTACCAAAACAAAAAAATTGAAATGTAGCAAAAGAAGGAACTTTTTGATTTAATCATGTGCTCAGGTCAAATTCTAGTTTGGTGTTACAGAGAGGCCTACTTAGTGAAAATCTTCATTTCAGAGAGAGATATTTTCTAATACTGCTTTGCACACTCTTTTTGCAATGATCGGTATTAAGTGTCTAAAATATGGTTGTGTTCCAAGCATTATTAGGTGTTGTGAGTGAGATAAGCTAAAATGTTAAAGGAACACTTTAGCGTTGGGAATACGATGATGCCACAATCCAATGCTTCTCATAGATGAAAGCAATGAATCAATTGGCCTTCCGTGTCACATGACAGATTTTTACTTGGTCAGTGCACTGGATTTGCCTCTTCTGTTGTCATATTAATAGCTAAACACTTCAGGGGCATTGCTCCTGAGAACAGGGGCATTGCTCCCAGGCCAGTTTATTGAGATGAAGTGGTCTGGGTGACTTTTTTTTTTTTAAAGAGTTTTAATGCCCCTTTGGTAAATTTTCTAGCAAAACATATTGGTTACATGTTACTAGATATTTGACTAGTCATCCACACATTTGCAGGACCTCTTTAAAGAGGAAATACCATTAAATAATCTTCAGTCTGCAATACTCCACTGTTTTGCCAACGACAGAGCTGTAATGCTCTTGGTAATGTTAAGAGCAGGTAGAGCAATGTTTCTAGTGGTGTATGCGTTTACAAGTTGTTTGTCAGCATAAAACCATGTCTTGTCAGCATAAAACCAAATTTTGCATAATGTATATAATGGAAAATTGATGGGAGAAATGTATTTCCCAGTAATCCTATGCTGCTGTGAGCTTTCCCACATGCAAAATGTGAGCAGCTTCATGGAAGATAGTATAAGGATTTATTTGTTTCTTTGTTTAGTTCCCTCCATGTTGCAACGTGGTACTAAGGATTATATGGCTTTTAAAATGCTCCAGAACTGCTGAATGCTGTTAGAGAAAGTCTTACTGTGCGTCTGACTTTCTCCTCTATAAATTTATTCTGCCCTCATACAGCTTGGCTCTTTCCTCTGCAAAAGTAAATTTACTTCAGTACCCTCATAACCATACTCTCCTGCGAACCCAAACAACTATTTCACACATTTAACTCTCTTCTTCGCCCTATTGTTCCACCTACTAACTTGACAGCCTCAGACTTTGCAACTCACTTCACTGACAAGATCTCTACAATCAGGGAAGAGATCTCTCATCTTTCTTCTTCCCCTTACAATACTTCCCCTAACCTCACTCCTTCTGCACCCGCTACATTGGAAGAGTTTTTTCTGCTCTGCTCAAGTCCTCCCACCCCACCACCTGCTCCCTAGATCTAATTCCATCGCATCTCATCCGTACTCTGTCTTCTTCTCTTTCTCCACCTCTCACTAAAATTCTCAATCTCTCTCTCTCTCTCTCTCTCTCTCTCTCTCTCCTCTGGCATTTTCCATCACCCTTCAAACATGCAACTATAACCCCAATTGTAAAGAAGACCAACCTGGACCCTAACTCCCCATCCAACGACCGTCCTACTTCGCTACTGCCTTTTGCATCCAAGATCCTTGAAAGAGTTGTGTATGCGAGATTGACAGACTTCCTCAAATCCAACTCTCTGCTAGACCCGCTTCAATCTGGTTTCAACGCTAAGCACTCTGGAAACGACACTCACCAAAGTATTCAATGATCTACTAGCTGCAAAATCTTGTGGTCACTACTCTATTCTAATTCTCCTTGACCTATCTGCCGCTTTTGATGCTGTTGATCATCAACCGCTTCTTCTCATCCTCCGCAATAACGTGCTCCTCCTACCTCTCCCAGCGCTCTTTCAGTGTTTCTTTCTCTGGCTCTGTTTCCTCTCCCCAACTCCTCTCTGTTGGTGTCTCCCAAGGTTCAGTTCTTGGTCCCCTACTGTTCTCCATCTATACTGCCTCCCTTGGTAAACTCATTAGCTCCTTTGGCTTCCAATATTATTTCATTGCGGATGACACGCAAATCTATCTGTCCTCTCCTGATCTCTCCCCGTCCCTCTTGACTAGTGTCTCTGACTGCCTCTCTGCTATTTCTAACTGGATGGCTGCCCACTTCCTTAAACTGAACTTGACCAAAACTGAAATTCTGGTCTTTCCCCTCTCAATTGTTGCTACTCCTCTGTCTGTCTCCAAGTCAACGGTGCTACCATCAGCTCCACCACGCAGGCTCGCTGCTGAAGTGTTCTCTTTGACTCCGACTTCTCCTTCACGCCTCATGTTCAGTCTATGGCCAAATCCTGCTACTTCCATCTCAAAAACATTGCGTGTATCCGATCCTTCTTTACGCCAGATCCTTTCTCGCCTTGACTACTGTAATCCGCTTCTCAGTAGTCTTACGTGCTCCCAACTTGGGTTGTTACAGTCCATAATGAATGCGGCGGCATTCTGCCCGCACCTCCCACGTCTCACCCTTCTGTCAGTTCCTCCATTGGCTTCCTATAAGATATATAGGGCTCAATTTAAATTCTGGTTCTTGCTTTCAAATCTCTACTCTCTAAAAATAATGTTGCTCCCGCCTATCTATCCTCCCTAATACATAAGTATGTCCTGTCTAGACCCTTACGCTCTGCTGAAGACTTACGTCTATCTTCTGTCCGTACTCCCACCTCTGACGCTCGCTTTCAAGACTTCTTGAGGGCTGCACCGTTCCTGTGGAACTCACTTCCCTCGTCCTTTTAGATGGACCCAGTCTCCACTTCTTCAAAAAAATCATTAAAAACCCACTTCATAAAAACCTATCAATTAAACTGTTAATAGCTCCCAACTGATTCCTCTCTTGCAACTGTCATTAGTCTTATACTATCTTTACCTTTTTGTGTCACTTTACCCCACTCCCTCTAGCATGTAAGCTCATTGAGCAGGACCCTTAACCCTTCTGTTCCTGTGTGTCCAACTTGTCTGGTTACAACTACATGTTTGTTCGTCCACCCACTGTAAAGCGCTGCAGAATTTGTTGGCACTATATAAATAACATAAAAATATAGTTTCTGTAGAATACTTGCATGTGGCAACATACAGTAAATTTCAGTGGTTTTGTTTGCATGATCACCAACCATCTAGGTGCTAGATACCCTAGTCCCCCAAGATTTCAGCCACATGTGGTACATTTGCCACTTGGTACCAGTGTTTTTATTTATTTTGTGAACACATTCAGCAGGTCTTTCTTATTTATAATATCTGTATGTTCAAGCAGAGATATTTGGACCCGCGTAAATCAGGCAGCCAATATCAATTCTACATGCCTTCCCAGCTTCCATGTTTTCTTTAATAGGCTTGGTTTTGTTATTTTATCCTTGCCGTCAAATTGTGAACATATAAGGATATACAAAGAACAGCAACTATGTAGGGATCGACCAATGTAATATTTTTTTATTTTTTTTAGCCAATACCGATAATCTGTGAACTTTCAGGCCGATAGCCGATAACTTACCGATATTCTGTACATTTACCATATTGAAAAAATAAACAATTTCTAAAGGTAAATGCACAAAATCTAGATGCCACATGTAGTGGATGCAGTGTGTTTAGACAGGGGAGCTGTGTGTGTAGTGTGCATATAATGCATGTAGTGTGTATTGTGAATGTAGTGTGTTTGTGTGTGTGTGTGTATATAATGCAGAATGTGTTTCTGTAGGCATGTAATTTGTGTAAAATAAGGGGGGGAGGGGGGAGTCTTTTTTCCGAAAATACCGATAATCGGTCAACCCCTACAACTATATTAAAGTATGCTTTGCTATGTAAAATTTTAAAGAATGTCTGTTAAAACTAAATCAAAATTTCATGGTGATTAATAAATGCTGGTTTACCAAGACAAAGTGACAGAACACACTCCACTCCAGGGCATAATATCATTCCGCTTTCTCTTACAGGCCTGAAAGAGGTAATAAAATTTGTGAAACCAGCTCCAATTGAGCAGGAGCTAACCAAGAAGCAGAAGAAGCAGAAAGATGGGAAGAAAAATCTAAACAGTGACCTGGAATCTCAGTTGCAGAATATGGAAGTGAACAATGCTTGAAAATATGCAAGATTTATCTGTTCTTTACATCAAATAAGTTGTAAAATCATTGGGCAGTTGGCATAAATTCCCTCGTCGTCCTCTTCCTAGATATACTGTTGCTGTTATTACAAAACTACCATAAGGGACTGTCTATAAGGCAATGGACTGAAGAAGGGTTTTAAGACCAGAAGCAGAGGGAAAATAATGTAATAAATTGACATGGCATGTAGCTTTTTGCAACAGTTTGGTGTCATTCCTAATGGACCTGTTCATATGTCATTCAACTGCAATTTGAATAAATGAAACCAAAAACATTCTAATAAGTTACTAAGAGGTAAAGCAATTTTACTTTTGAGTTATTAAAATTTTACTTGAAACCAGACTGAGATAAATTTAAACCCCATTTTTTTTAAATCTTGGTAAGTTAAATATATTCTGCACAAAATCATGTTTTTTTTTCTTTTTTCTTTTTCATCCGTGTTGATCCTTTTACTAACATTCATATTACTAAAGCAGTCACATTATGTTAGAGTTTATGCAGATTAAAAAAGTAAAGGTTTCCAAGACAACATGCAGACCAGTATTTTAATATATAATTTGCTTTATATTTTCTTACAAATTTAAAATGCAACACACTGAAGCAACAATTTTTATCTTGCCCCTAATTACTACGAATTTTTTTTTTTCTGGTAGGGGCACGTTAAGCACCATAACCACTTGCAGCACAATGTAATGTTTATAGTGCCAGGAATCTGCTGCTGCAACCACCAGTGTAAAAGTTAAACTGTTTCCAAATCCTATGTAACTTACCTGGGTCTCATGGGTACCTAGAGTCCAGCTAAAGTGATTTTGTAGGTTTATAGAGATCTATGTATTTATTTTTTTTTCCATCTTTTGTATAATTGAGAATTGCTTTGTGGTAATTGCAAAATTAGTCAGCCGTATGTTGAGAGCAGTTGGACAAATTCACTTTAAAAAAAAAAAAAAAAAAAGTGCAATTTTTCTATACACATTTTGCCCTTTCAAATCACATTGTAGTCCTAGTCTTACATTCATAAAAATATACTCTCCATGAGTAATGTGTTTTTTAATTTTATGAGCTTCGTTTTTATCTGACATTTGTAAAATCCTTTCATTCTGTGTGCGCGTAATATATCTAAATAGATAGCATCTCAGTGCGTTAACAGTGGTACCGATTTTGTAAGTATCCCCAAAGGAACAGAATTGTGAAATACTTACATGGTAGAGTGTTGGTGTGCTGTGGACTGATTTGAAAATCGCTGCTTCATATAGGGTAAACAAGTTGGCACTCACTTACTTTATTTTTGAGTTTTTACTATGTAAAAAGAAATTTCGAAGTTGGAGATCTGGTACTCTGTTAACAATGGTTCTGATGCTGGCCCTCTACTGGCAAGTAAAGATGTCGCAGCAGCTGAACATTCCATTCCATTACCTAATAAGGATGTGCATGGGCAAAAAAATTCGGTTAGGCACTTCCCTAACCCCTAACCCTAGGAGTCGGGTTAGGGTTAGATTCCTGTCATCATTCCCTTAATTTTCCCTCCATCTCCTTTTTGCCACTTTTCAGAAATCTGAAGCCCTTCTGAAATTCGGAAGCATCTGAATGTCCAAGTAGCCGAAATTCGGACCGAAATGAATGGCACGTTTATTATCTAACCTTCAGCACCTCAGAGAAATGTGATGCCATGACAACCCGCTGAGAAGTGAACAGGCAATAAATGAATTTGTGTACATGATGCAGGCATGCAGTTCATGACATCTGCTTCCATCATCCAGGGCTTATGACAAGAAATGTAATTGAATGAGAATTTAGATATCCGGTATCTCTATATGGAGACGGAAAGGTGCAGCATATATGCATAATTGTGGGAGAGCCGTGATAGAAGAAGTAAATGATTAAGGAAAAAATCTGGAATTCCTAAATATTGGAAGGTTACAAATCTGAAAAGTAATTCTGAGACCTCCTATTCCTATAGCTGGCATCCCAGGCTTTCTCACTCCCATCGGATGTTACAATTTCCCATTCTAATTCTTCAAATGGGAATTTTATCGGAAGGTCGTCTATTCTTTCATCAATTCCAGGGCCATTTTTACCTTTTCTGGAATGTATATACTCTATCCATTTTTTTTTTCTTTAAATTCTGCTGAATTGCATCAGGAAATGTCGAGTTCTGACATACCAATATGCCCGTTAAACTAGGCCTATTGTAGCCATTACCGTACCCAAAAGGCCAAAGTATTGTAGTATTGAATAACCAGCTTATTTCTTATATTCTTTCCTTTCTTCTTGTAATTCTGTCCAGCTAGAGAAAAAAAGAAATAAATCTTGGATTTATATTTGTATTTGACCTGTGGAACTGAATTATCTGAGGGGATTAGTTGGCTGAATTTGTAACATAATCAAATATTCAAGGTTTTTTTTTTTGGGGGGGGGGGGGTTTATCACCAGGGATATACTGTCTCCAGTTGGACTCCTGATTACTGTATTACCGTAATATTACAAGAACTTACTCTTCAAGGTCTTGGCAACAAAGCCATTATTGCTGCTCTTGGCCATTAGCTTTGTAATGCTACTAGATTTCTCTTTGAGGATAATCTGACATCCTTCATCATTTCCAGAAGAGCTTCCATCTTCATTTAATTTGCAATAACTTAATCTAAGGAATTTCTCCAGACTCTCCTAACTCTGGAAAGGAAAATCAGTGTAGTAGCTAGTTGAATAACTGCACCTAAAGTCAGGGCCGTCTTTAACGCGGGACAAACGGGGCAGCTGCCCCGGGCCCAATTTCTCTTGGGGGGCCCGAGGCACCTGCCCCGTGGGCCCCGCTGCCCTCATCAATTTATTTTTTTCCCCATCCTCTGAGTCCCACCGGGTGGCCCATGCACTTAGGGCCACCCAGTGGGCTTGTATCAGCAGGGGCCCAGTTGGGCGCTGTTGCCCTTTAACACTGCGACCGGGCCCTTGCTTTCCGGCAGCCGGCTAAGAGGAAGTGACTGCCGCAAGTCACTTCCTCCCATAAACAGAGGAGCTGCACGGAATCTGGCAGGAGGAGTCATGAGGGAGAGAGGACGCGGCTGCAGTGAGGATGGAGGATCCTCACTCCCATCATGCTCAGGCACCACACTGGACTCCAGGGAAGCCACCCTCCAGCAAAAGGTAGGAAACTGGAGGGTGGGTTTAAAAATGTACATTTTACATGTGTGTCAGTATGTCTGTCTGTGTGTGTCAGTATGTCTGTCTATGTGTGTGTGTGTGTGTTTCAGTATGTCTGTGTGTGTTTCATTATGTCTGTGTGTGTGTCAGCATGTCTGTGTGTGTGTTTCAGTATGTCTGTGTGTGTGTGTCAGTATGTCTGTCTGTGTGTTTCAGTATGTCTGTGTGTGTCAGCATGTCTGTGTGTGTCAGCATGTCTGTGTGTGTGTCAGTATGTCTGTCTGTCTGTGTCAGTATATGTGTGTCAGTATGTTGATCAGTGTATGTGTCTGTGTGTGTGCCAGTATGTCAGTATGTCTGTATATGTGCCTGTGTCAGTATGTCTGTCAGTACGTCTACCAGTGTATGTGTGTGTGTCAATATATGTACCTGTGTCAGTATGTCTGTCAGTGTATGTGCCTGAGCAAACACTTGCCCAGGGTCCATTCGTTATTAAAGACGGCCCTGCCTAAAGTAGCATATGTCCGCTAAATCTGCCTCTTTTTGCATATTTGCCATAGTGAACCAATAAACTACATAATCGTAGGGTATACTTGAAAAGGAATTAATAACAAAAGGAAGGGCTACAGGAATAGGACAAAAGTATTAGTCCTGTTGCCTCAAATGGACTAGGTGGGTAATGGGCTATGCTGCGAGTATGGGGCATGTCTACAAAACAGTGACACTGTTGTTAAAAAAAAGTCCCCCCCTTCTAACAAATGTTCCCATGGTGGGGCATCTATTGACTAGCCGGCGGGACAAAGGGCTTCCCCACGGCCTCCAACCAATAAGCTGCGGTTAGGGCTCCCAAATGAAAATGGGGAGGAGGGGTTTATACATAGGTCCCCACCTGTCATCCATGGATGGGGGCTGGGGAGGACAATAGGTGTCCCCCCACTAGGGGGCTTTTTTTTTTTTTTTAGCAGACATGCGATATAGCGAGTAGGGGCAGAATTTACGAATACTAAGTAATCTTTATTTGGTAGTACTAAATTTGGCTAAAAGACCAATTTAGGTCTTTCAGCCTTTTGGTAGGTAGCTCCCTAATACCGTGGGAATTAGGGAACCCTCTACTAAGCAGCTGCAAGATGCACCCGTGGCACGAATAGATTCAAATGAAATTCCGATCCGAACAAAGTCCGGAATTACGTCCTAACACGAATGGAGAAACTGTTCTCATTCTGTTATGACGAAATTGGGTAATTTCGTCAGCGTTCTGTCTAAAAGGACAGGATGTTCGGTAATACTGACAGGAAGCATCGGGAGATAACGGAGAAAAGGTAAGAATTGTGGGAAAATTTCTCTGACCACAGGAAACAGAGAACACTTTGCTCCTCCGCTGGTCATAGATGGTCAGGAGTAAGAAACCTCCATAAGACAAATAGTCCCTACTTTGTCTTATGTTTTAAAAAAAACTAGTGCAGACAGGAAAAAATGAAGACCAGATCCTGACGAGGAAGAGAAGAGGAATCCATTGGGGAAAGGTAAGTTCGGTATGACCGTGCCGCTTTAACCCCTTAAGGACCAAACTTCTGGAATAAAAGGGAATCATGACATGTCACACATGTCATGTGTCCTTAAGGGGTTAAAAGAGGGGGAAATGGAATAGACGTAAAGCCTCAGTTTGCTTGTTCTCCTCCATTTCACACTAGTAGTGTGTGTGTGTGTATATATATATATATATATATATATATATATATATATATAAATTCCCATACTCCACTGGTTGCAATTCCTGATAATGTAACCATTTAAAGGGATACTAGTCACCAAAACAACTTTAGCTTAATGAAGCCCGCAGTCTCACAGCTCAAATCTCTGCCATTTAGGAGTAAATCACTTTGTTTATGCAACCATAGGCACACCTCTGTGCGTGTGCCTTACACTGCCTTCCTAAACACTTCCTGTAAAAAGTCCTCTGTTAACACTTCCTTTATTGCAAATTCTGTTTAATTTACACTTTCTTATCTGCTGCCCTGTTAATAGCTTGCAAGACCTGCAGCCTCCTGTATGTGATTACATTTCAATTTAGAGAGCATGAGATTAAAAATAAATAAATAAATAAGTAAGTTACATCTGACTGAAAATGAAACCATTTTGTATTCATGCAGGCTGTGTCTGTCAAGTGTGGCTAGAAGAAAAGTGATTTAACTCCTAAATGGCAGAGAACTGAGCAGTGAGACTTCACAAGCATGATCTATACACTAAAACAGCTTCATTAAGCTAAAGTTGTTTAGATGACTACAGTGTCCCTTTTTCTAAAGGGGAAGTGTCATTTCCTATCATTTTTAATATGTTTACTTATTTCTACATTTAACAAATATATATTTGTGAGGTGAGCAAAATAAAATGTATAACTCTACACATCATTACCCTACAACTGGATACCTCACTCCTAGCTCCCTTTCCGTCATTGTTATAAGCTCAGCCCTTTTTACCAGACAGTCAGCAGGGAGAATGCATACAGAGAAGAAATTAAATATGTTTCTATGTCTCTTAAACCTTTGCAATGTTTGCCCTCAGTGTGCCTTGTCTGAACTGGATTATAATGTAATTTTCTAAAATATTTACCTTTAAAAACAAATTGTAGGTGATGTTCAATGTTTTATTCAAGGATGTAAGTTCCAGAGAAGTGACAGTCCAAGACCTCTTAAGTACTTTAACTTGCCAAAATATGTGTGAAGAGTATTATTTTTTTTTTTATGTTTTGACGTTTCTCTCCCCCCCAGCTCATTTCTGTCTCATTCCCTTCCGACATCCCTTTGTGTGTCGCTTTCTCCCCAGACCTTTTCTGTGTTGCTTTCTCCCCACCAACCCTTTTGTATTTTTCTTTCATCCACCAGCCTAATTCCCATAGTTCCTTTGTGTGTGTGTCTCTATCCTAGCCCAATTGTGCCTCTCCCCTTCTTGCCTCTTTGTGTGTATTTTTCTCCCCACTGACCCTTTGTGTATCTTTCTCCCACACTGCACCTTTTTTTGTATGTCTATTTCCAAAGCCCCCTTGTGTGTTCCTTTTTCCTCCACCTCATCCCTTTTTGTGTCTCTTTTCTCCCCAGCCATACAGACATATACATGCACGAAGACAGAAACATACAGACACAAAACCTAGTTATTTAAGCGCACAGTCATAAAAGGCACTCAATCAAACACACAGTGATACAATGTACACATACAGGTACATTGTCATACAGACATAAAGTCACAATTACATACTTCTTAGCCATGTCCAATCAGATTCCTCACGGGCTCTGTTAATACCAGGTGCTGTGTTACACCAGGGGCAGAGATATGTGCTTCATATCCACACCCTCTCCACCCATCCTTCAGCATTAAAGGACCACTCTAGGCACCCAGACCACTTCAGCTTAATGAAGTGGTCTGGGTGCCAGGTTCTTCTAGGGTTAACCCATTTTTCAGAGAAACTGCTATGTTTATGAATGGGTTAAGCCTTCCCCCTAATCCTCTAGTGGCTGTCTCATTGACAGCCACTAGAAGCGCTTGCGTGCTTCTCACTGTGATTTTCACAGTGAGAGCACGCAAGCGTCCATAGGAAAGCATTGTAAATGCTTTCCTATGCGATGGGCTGAATGCGCGCGCAGCTCTTGCCGCGCGTGCGCATTCAGCCCAGGAGGAGGAACGGAGGAGGATCGGAGGAGGAGAGCTCTCCGCCCAGCGCTGGAAAAAGGTAAGTTTTTAACCCTTTCCCCCTTCCAGAGCCGGGAAAACGAGTATGTTTTCCTGGCACTATAGTGGTCCTTTAACCAGGCTGGGATGCAGAGGTGTTGCAGTTCAACCATGCTATATTAATTGATTGACAGTAGGGGGAGTGTCTTGTCGACTAAATGGACATGCTATCACGTATTCATACACACATAAAAATGTGGTTAATGACATTTACTGTCCTGACAGGAAAAGTTGTGCCTAGCAACATTACCGTCCTGACAGGGAAAGTTGTGCCAAGGAGCAATCGTGAACATGGAAACCTGGTAATTACTTTTGGGGTCAAAGTCCGGTCATGGCCAATCAAATCCACAGGAGTGTTTGTGCTGAGCAACAATCATGCACATGGAAACCTGGTGATTGCCTTTGGGGTCAAAGGCTGGTTACAGCCAATCGGATCCACAGGAGGGGTATTTAAACCCAATTCTCCTCTTGCTCATTGCCCTGTCGTGGTTTCATGCCTATAGTTATCCAAGAGTGTGTTCCTGGTATTTGACTTTGGCTTTGTTTTGACTTCCCCGATATCTGGTATACTTGATTTCTGGATTCCCCTCATCTTTGTGTCTGATTCTGTGTCCCTGACCTCTGCAAGTATTTTGACTATTCTTGGAGACGTTAAGTCCTGCCATACTAAGGTCCAGTTATACGTTATCCTTAGTCCTAGGTGTGACACAGTACTGCAAAGTGCTGTGAAGAACTGTCTTGCAGCATCCTGTGGTAATCTGCGGCAGCGTTCTGATTATCTCGAGCTAGGAAGACAGCTACTGGTCTGCAGCCAACAGAAGTGCAGGCCAGAAGTGCCAGACTGCCTCCCCTACATTACAGAGGAGCAGACTAAGTATGTCACATAATACTGTGAATGGTTTTGCTTTGGAGCTCTGGATTATACTTCTTTACCTTGACCTCGTTGGAATAAACATTTGTAGTAATGCACTACTTCTCCATTTATCACAGAGCTCCACAACAATAAAACTCACAGTAATGTAGAGCTTTGTGACAAGATCATACAGACTAGATGGGCAAAATGGTTCTTATCTGCCGTCACATTCTATGTTTCTATACAATACACTACACAACAATACAATTCTAAGTAATGTGTCTATTAGTGTATCACCAAGCTCCCTAACTATAAAACACAGAGTAATGTGCATTTTATATATCAGAGCTCCACTGTAATACACCTCACTTTAATATGATGTAATGTTTGTGTTGTCTGTGTATATGATAGGTTTGATGACTGTGCGTGATATGTATGCTATGTGTTGGCTGTTTGT